GGGGCATTAAAAATGTTTGAGGAATTGTTTTAATTTATTATAAATGTTTATATCATTTTGTGCTACACTACTATTGGAAAAATATTTAGTGTATATCATGCATGAAGAATGTGCAATTTTGGGACTTTCTCTATAATAATTTATTTTATTTATTATTTATGTAGGTTTTTGTGAAGATCAATGAAAGTGGGATTGCCGATTCATATGTTACAGAAATACCGACAGAGCCTGATGCAAGTTTACATATTCTCAATATTCAAGCACAGTTTCCAGAGACAACTGGATTACGTTATCGATCAGAAACAAACACATGGCGGGCTGTCAGAAGACTAGACAATACGTTGTTTGCTCCACATGGTGGGTGGGGAGATAAAATATATGCTGTCGTAAAACCTATTGCAGGTAAAATCTGTTTAAGCCACAAAGTATTTGGTAGATGATGATACTGTAGCTTTTGAATTTTGCAAGAAATTTTTGTAGCAGCATAAACAATGTTTTTTTTAAATTAATATTTCATTTAATTAACTATATAATTTGTCCACAGTCTATCACCAGATTATTACTGAAATACCATAACATTCAAGTTTTTAAAAGGAGAAAGAAATTGGATTGTTAGGTTTAATACTATTAATTTGGGGATAACTTCCATGGAAGAGGGCATCTCTTGCATATTTTCACTGTGTGGGTCCTTATATGTACATACCATTGCACACATAAGAACATATAAACATGTATTTTAAACATGTTATAACTGACTAATAATGCGGAATGTTTTATTAATATTATAGTTAATCTTGCACCCAATGTAAAACATGGACATGACAAACCTGAAGTTTTAAAGTCATCTAAAGTCATGTCTAAATCATCTCAGCGAACCATATCATCTGACTTCACTCTTGGGCCACCAAGTGAGGTAATTCAATATTATGTATAGTATGTTTTATTTATTGTGCAATATATATATATATATATATATATATATATATATATATATATATATATATATATATATATATATATATATATATATATATATATATATATATGAACTGTATAATTATGATAATTTACAGTACCTGCATGATCATCCTATTGTGACTGCATATGTTTTTTGGCATTTTCCCATTCCTGTCAAACCTTGAATAAGTGATTTTCACTAAATATTTTGCTACATAATGCGAAACCATAAGACTACATGTACTCCATGACATTTTAAAAGTTGTAACTGTTGTAAATATTTCTGTACTAATTCTATGAATTTATTTGATTGTATTTTGAATTTTTACATAGGAAATTTACAAAGAACCAGAGAGAGATATATCTGAGGCCAACATATATTCTGGAAAAACGTTGACAAAATATCAAATCGCAATTAATGCTGCATGCCAAGTTTTGGGGAGGGAAGATCCAATGTTACTTGTACACAGAGGTACCTTTATTGACATTTCTTTGCCTAGTGTACAAATCAAAGCCAGAGGTTTTATTGTATCAACCTATGTTTTTGTCAACATTGTTATGCATATTCAAGGAGTCTGTTCAAGATGATCCGTACACTAAGTCTATGTAGTTAAGACATCTACTCCAGCATTTAAACTTTGATGATTTAGAGTTTTATGGGCGTTTTGTTTTAGATGAATTGCTGAAAATGGCAAGAGAAAAGGTTAAAGCAGATGGCTACGAGTACAAGAAGGGTTACTCTAGATCAGTGTCTTCAAGCAGTAGCAGTGGAGGTGATGACCATGCTGGTAAAAAGGATCTCGACAAGAGTGCAAAGAGAAAACATATGGATGCTGAAGAGCGGAAAAAGGCCATTACCAACATCAAAGCCCTACTCGAGTGAACAAATGATCATATCCGTATAAAGCAACAACGTATACAAAAACTTAAGACGTGTAATGATTTCAAGCAATGTGATGTGGTCAGTAATGAAACAACACAATTACTGAAGCAGAAATACGAATACGAGGGCCAACTTGCTTCTCTGGAGAGAAAAGAAGCCAAATCTCAATGGTACAAGAAAAAAGTTAAAAGGAAACCAGCGCTGAATTCAAGTGAATCTCACACTGCTCGATCACTGAGTATAGCTGAAATGCTAAGCAAAGCTGATACTACCACCTTGTCAACGAGTAATACCAATGCCTCACCTGCTAGCGCAGCAATACAGAGATCAGTCAATGATACCAATGCCTCAACAAAGTACAGTGATGAGCCATCCATCAGTATAATTAATGTACCAGATGAAGATCCTGCTTCAGCACAACACTCAGATGCGTCAGCCGATACCCTTCCATTGGACGATTCTGACGATCTTTTTTGAACCGCCCCTCTCACTTGGCTGAAGTGGGAGGGCTGGAAGCTATTGCTCGTTATGATTTACAAGAGAAAAGGAATTTAGCAGATTATTTAAAAATTAAGGATAATGTTTACGTTTCAGTTTATGAGGGATTTTCACTAAAACAATATACAGATATTAGACAGTTTATTTGTAAACAAAGACACCCTCAGCCCTGCAAAAACTGTGAAGGATTGGTTAATGTTGCGAATGTAATCCTCGATCAAGGCTTCCTAAAATTGAAAACCGCAATGACAATATCTAGTCCACATGTCCGTCATTACAAAGCTTCATTAGCTAGACGTAAACTTCTTCAAATGCCATTGGCATGTATAGGAGTTGGTAGGACGGAACAGGGGACTTACTGCTTGTATCTTGTTGAAAAGCAAAACCTAGTTGATTATTCCATTTTCCAAACACTTTTAGAAAAAGCTGCTTTAAAGCCAGGGGTAAAAGAGATGAGCATATCAAAAGAAGAGATGAGTAACATTCTTTACCTTGCTGAAACAGAATCGCAAAGGGAACTGTTGAAGTATGTTGTTGTTAAGGCTACTGGACTTTCCAATACGAAGGCGAAATCTTTTTATGGACTCAGTAATGTAAAAGAGAGAAAAGAAAAAGTTGAAAATGCTCTGGAAAAAGCAATTTCAATAAGACAGTCTATTGAAAAGATAGCTCGTCTTAAAGACAGAGCCTTACTTTCCTCTTTTGGCATTGATTGTGCTAGTGATTGCGACACCAGTAGTGAAAGTGAAAGTGAAAGCGATAGTGACAATGACAGTGCCATCCAGAAAGAACCAAGTCAATCTAGTCCAGATAAGATAACAGAACCTGTTGTGACAGATGATGAGATTAATCCTGATTTCCTTACACTGAATGCTAAAAATAATCCCGTGTTAGATGTTAATCAAGCCCTATGTATTCTTAAGGAGTGTACTTTTAACTGGTTTGAGCTGGTTAGCCAGCTTGAATCAAGGTTAAATGTTTCTGACGATTTGGTTAGCAATGTTCTTGACGAACTTGGAAATCAGCTTACATCTAATAACTTAGGATTAAGTGAAATGGACCAAAAGATTGCAGAACAATCATGGCAAGCATATTCACTCATGAAAACGTATAGTGACAGTTCTTGTAGTGATGATTCAATTGTGTCGGATTCTGATGAGAGCGAGAACGAAATGTGGCGAAAAGGAATAGATGATGTTCTGAGTGCTGATGGTAAAGAAATGATAAAGAAGCGTAAAGAGGCATTAAAGCGAAAAGCTGTACGTGAAACAAAACGAAGGATTATGGAGGAAAGGTTTCTTAAAAGAAGAAGAAGCAAAAAAGTATCGCGAATATTGACCCAGTGTCCGGATATTGGTAAAGAAATAGAACAATTTGTTCAAGATTCAGGCGCGGGTGCTGATGCATGGAGGCGCACTGGTGTGCTTACTTTTGATGGCAACCGAAAGTTAAAAAAGAAGCCTACATTCAAGCGCATTCAAAAACATCTTCAGGAAAAGTACAATACGCATATCAGCTATGGTAGTGTTGTTCAACTTTGCATTGCAAGGAATAAGAGACGGAGATCTGCTGCACGATACAAAGGTGTAGCAAAGGTTCTACAAAAGAGATCCCGGAAAGGATTTAATGCCAAATTTAATCCCGACGAACACTGGAGCTGTGCATTTTATGCTACACTTAACGAGCTAGAATACAAAGATGGAATGGCTGCAATGAACATTGGAAGAGATGATCAGGCAGGTTTTCGTCTTGACACAATGACAACTCATCGCTTACATGGCACATTATGCGTTAAAGGTAAAGAAGCCCTTACAACACGTACGGATTATACTACCAGGTATCCGTCTACCTTACAAACGACGTCGTATAACTTTGCTGAAACGGAAACAGTAGGAGAATTGTGTGCTGGTGTTGTAAAAGCACGTGGACTTCACGAGAAGAACCCAGCACAACATCTAGCCGACTTGGAAATGCTTTCAAAAAAGGAAGAACTGAAACCTGCTTTTATTGATCATATGACCAATCAGCTGAAGAAAGTACAGTTCATTAGAGTCGACGGGGGTCACGATGAGGGACCGTCCCATTGTGAAGTTCAGTATTGGTGGACTGTCTGGCAACTCAAAACTGACGCTATTGTCACAATAATAACATGTCGAAACAGTGGTGCAAGCTTCCGGAACAGGGTTGAATTGCAAAATGGGTGTCTGTCTCTTGCGCACACAAATCTTTTTATTCCATCTACCCTAAATGGAAGTTGTTTGGAAGGCGATGGTAAAATCAACCATGAAAAAATGCAGGAAAATCTTTCATCCGCAATTGATGTCTATATCAGCCGCGTCAGTGGAGCACCTTGTGGGTCAGCACAGATAGAACTTTATCGTGGGGCTAATAGCACAGAACATCAGAAAGAAAACGATCTTGTTAAAATTTTTCTCAAGGGGAATAAAGCAGAAAAACAGGCTTTAGAAGAAGAACATCCCGCATTGTATGCGAAAATAAAGAGTATCTGGGAGCTCAAGAAAAGACATGAAAACAAGAACGTCCCTAGCAAATACGTCTTTTCGCTACTGTGTTGCTATAAAAAAGATTGTATTCATTCCCTTTGTAAGAATGGACGACCTGCCATCAATCCAACCTGGTACCCTGGTGGACCACCACTTACTTACTTCCCATTGCCAACAAAAGATCCAGAACGACCATTTGGTCAAGAAAACTGCTCCCAATGCCAATCAGAGTGCGCTGGACATTATCTAAAACCAAAGCTTTTGGTAGACAAAGCAATCAACAGTGAACAACCACCTTCTATGCAGCCACCATCCGATATTATCTTGTCAGTATACAAGAAATACGAGAATATTCCACCTGACGATGTAGTATGCGCAACGTCTGAAGACGTCCTCTTGCCTGTTGGAGAAACAAGGATGTGGTTTGAGCACTTACACCAAGTTAGTCTCAATCGAAAAAAAGGTGCGAAAAAAGCTGCTTCCACTCGATCCAAGAGAAAGGCAAAGGACAAGCATCCAGTACCTGATGATGCAAATGAGGACGTCTGTGCGTCATGTGGCGAATTAGAACCCCCAGAGGAAGAGGACAAAGACTGTACTTCGGCAGAGGTGCACTGGATAGCATGTGACGGATGTCTCAGCTGGTACCACGTTCAATGTTGTGGGCTGAATAGTTGCGAGGACGTAAGTTCACTTTCACACTGGCTATGTCTCAATTGTAAGGAGTCTTGGGACCCAAACGCTTAATAAACGTAGCAGATAGATCACTGATGATACATTAGGACGAACTGTTAATAACTGGGATTAAAACAGAAACACTTTTAAGCCATTTTATATATTGAAGGGAAATGGCAATATATTTTTTATTTTCTCATTTGAAAGAACTTTATATTATTATAACAATGAAAGACTATATATTATTATAACACTCTTTTACCGTTCTTCCATATCTTGCTTTATACTTCTACAAATATTTTGAGCAAAAGGAATGAAATGTCCGCCATCTCCAATTTTTGTAGATATGCATGTCACGTCACAACAGGGCCAGGGTCACACAGTATTTTTATCTAGACAACCACTAATCATTTCGCACTAAAAACTATACTCTGTCTGCCCTTCGAAATATCAAGATCACTCAAAACCTTTTATATGGTTAATCCCTGTTGTGACGTCACCAAAACCATCGTTAAAGAGATCAAAACTTTATCGAAGATGGCGGATATCTCATTTAATACTTCAAGTGAAAATATTTCAAGAACTAAGCAAGATATAAAAACTCTGTAAAAGAAGTTAATATACAGTTTCAAATTAAGTTCTTTCAAATGAGAAAATAAAAATTTATATTGCCATTTCCCTTATATTAATATCGATTTATACTTTATATGTTAAAAGTTCACATTATGTTATTTTGAAAAGTTCATTAAATTTGTAATACTTTATCGCCGAAGATATTCGTGTCATTTTTAACATATGGTATATTATTAAGATTAATTCACAACCTTCCCTATCACCTGACGTATAGAGTGCACTAGAAACCGAATACTTCGGGAATACAATTTCATCCCGGGGGTGGGGAATTTTGCCCAGGAACTTTGTCCCGAGGGAGTGGCATTTGACATTTTTTTTTGTAAAAATGTCAAATCCCCACCCCTTGCCCGACCCCCCCCCCCCTCGGGGTTAACATTGATAGGTGCATAAAGCAGCAGGTTCGAACTTTCTTGGCAAAATTTAATTGTTGAACGTTTTCGTTTCATATTTTCTTTCTTGTGTTCAAAGAATAAGCATACATTGCAGTTTTAAAATCAGTTCATTAATGCACCTATCAATGTTTTCCCCCTGAGGGGGGGGTGCGGGCAACCCACGGGAATTTTGACATTTTTCAAATTTTGTTGTCAAAATCCCCACTGTTGGGCAAGGAATGGCTGTCAAAATTCCCCA